GGGGTGCCCTTCGTTGACCGTCGTCGATGCCTTGCCTTTGCTCGAGTTCACAGAGGGCATGGGCGGTGATGCGAGCGCGGCCTCTCCCGACAGCGTCGTCAACCAGGTGCCCACCTCCGAGGCGGGCCTGAGGAAAGGTGTTCCTGATGAAGGGGAAGATGATTATCATCCTGCGAGTGGAGGGGCAGGTCCTGTTGCCGATGCTTATGCGGTTCTTCCTAGCGGTGACGAGCATGCTCTTCATGAGTCTGATGGTGTTCCTGATGAAGGTGAAGCTCAGGTTCTCCCTGGAGGTGGAGGGAATGGACCTGCCGCTGATGGTTCTTTGCCTCTACCTGGCGGTGGTGTGCTTCCTCCTCGTGAAGGTGTGGACGGTGGGAGTCCTGGTCGTGTTCAAGTGCATATAGCAGAAGGTGCTGCGCTTCAAGTGGAAGATCCTGGGCACCATGGTGCGGGTGGGTTAGGGCTCACGGACGCTGGCACTGGCCCTGTGTTGTACCCTCCGTTGACCGTCGTTGTGGCCTCGCCTGTGCTCGGGTCCTCGAGGGGCATGGACGGCGACGCGGATGCTGCCCCCCCCGACAGCGACGTCGACCAGGTGCTCACCCCCGTGGCGGACATGAGAGCAGGTGTTTCTGATGATGGTGAAGCAGATGATCCCCCTGGAGGTGGAGGAGCTGGTCCTGTTGCGGAAGCGCCTACGCTTCCTCTCGGCGGTGGTGAGCTACCGCCTCATGGTGGTGTGGGCCGCGGGTGTCCTGGTCGAGTCCAAGTGCTGCTTGCAGAAAAAGCGGTGCCTCAAGGTGATGATTCTGGCCATCATGATGCGGGTGAGTTGGGGCCCACGGGCGCTGGCGCTGGCGCTGTGAGGTGCCCTTCGCCGGGCCTCATGGAGGTTTCGCCTGTGCTCGAGATCACGAGGGGCATGGACGGCGACGCGAGCGCGGCCTCTTTCGACAGCAACGTCAACCAGGTGCCCACTGCCGATGCAGACATGAGAGCAGGTGTTCCTGATGAAGGGGAAGCTGATGATCTCCCTGGAGGTGGAGGGGCGAGTCCTGCTGCTGAAGCGCCTGTGCCTCTTCCTGGAGCGGGTGAGCATCCTCTTCGTGGTGGTGGACCAGGGGAGTTCTGGTCGAGTCCAAGTACCGCCCGCTGAAGAAGCGGAACCACAAGGAGATGATTCTGGCCGTCGTGATGAGGATGAGTTGGGGCCCACGGATGCTGGCACTGGTCCTGTGGGGTTCCCATCGATGGGCATCGTGGAGGTCTCGCCTGTGGTCGAGTTCACGATGGGCTTGGTCGGCGACGCGAGTGCGGCCTCTCCCGCCAGCGACCTCAACAAGGTGCTCTCCGCGGAGGCGGACCTGAGGGCTGGCCCTGCGGGGGCCGTCGGCGGCGGCGGCGCGGCCAGCGCGGCCTAGACACAGACGTGCGCCCTTCAGTGGCGTGGGATCCTCCTCCTATACTCCCTGATCCCTCTTCCCATCCCCCTTTCGGATGTGCAGCATGACGTCAGAGAGTTTCTCCTCCTCATCCTCATCTTCCTCCTCCCTCCACCCCACCACCCCTACTCCTCATTCTCTAATAACTCCTCCTCCCCTCATCATCATCATCACCACCACCACCATCATCATCATCATCATCATCATCATCATCATCATATTGATATTCCTCCTCCTGTGTCTTCTATGGGAAGAGGAGGTGCGGGTAGAGACGAAAGTTGATAAGGATGTGGAGCGCGCGTGATAGGATAATGGGGAGGAGGACGGGGAGGAGGATGATGAGGAGGAGGAGGCAGAGGAGCAGCAGGAGGCGAATGTCGAGGCGTAGCTCCTCGTCCGCCTCCTCCTCCTCCGTCTCCCATTCCTCCTCCTCCTCATCCTCCTTGTCCTCCTCATCCTTTTCCTCCTCTCCCTCTTGGTGCTCCCGTCCCTGCTCCTCGCCATCGTCATATTAATTCTTCTCCCATCTCTCCTCTGGAAGGAGAAGGAACGGAGGATGATGATGAGGAGTAGGAGGAGGAGGAGGTGAGAGGAGAGGAGGAGGAGGAGGAGGAGGAGGAGAGGAGGGAGGAGGAGGAGGAGGAGGAGGAGGAGGAGGAGGAGGAGGAGGAGGAGGAGGAGGAGGAGGAGAGGAGGAGGAGGAGGAGGAGGAGGAGGAGGAGGGGGAGGAGGCAGAGGAGGAAAGGGGGAGGAGGAGGAGAAGGAGGAGGGCGCAGTGGAACGGAGATCCCCGACCGGAAAATCGGTTTTGGTTTCGTCGTCTCGTGTGTGCGGGCGAGTCGAAGCTGCGCGGGCGCGCGAAAGGAATGATGCCGCCGTGGCTAGGGGCCGTGGAGCCGATTGACTGCCCCCCCCCGCCCGCGGGGCGCGCCGGTGCTCGTGGCGTCGGTGGCGCGGGGTTGCTCCGTCGGTGGCGCGGGTCGCTCCGTCGGTGGCGCGGGGTGTCCCGACGCTGGCTCTAGGCTTTAGGTGTCCCGCCGTGGTGTCTCGACGGTAGCTCGTCAAATCGGTTGTGGACTCGATAGTCAGATCGATGGTGAGATCGATTGTGTGACCGATCGTGATCGTTAGATCGATTGTGGGAACGCGAGAGCGATAGTGATATCGTTAGTGAGATCGATCATACCAGATCTTTGGCAAAGTAGAAGAGTAGAGCGCATTTTGCAAAAGGCCAAACGCGAAACGTATGACGCCAACACTAGAAACGTTAAAACGTAGAAAAGCACATGATGCCACTTCTCTACTTTTTGATGCTTTTACCTAACAGCGTTTGCTGTTAGGTTTCTAGTAGGGTCAAAAGAGAGCAGCAGATGACTCCTCAGGGGGGTCTGGGCGGGTGCCGGGGAGGAGAACCGGAAATCGTTTTTCGCGAACAGTCACACACTTCGTGCTCTTCGACTTCCCAGAACTCCATTCCCGGGCCACATTCTGGAGAACCGGGAACAGAGCCGGGCTCGCTTTTCGCCAACAGTCACACACTTCGTGCTCTTCGACCTCCCAGAACTCCATTCCCGGGCCACATTTTGAGTGCCCGGAGCCAACTGTAGGCCACTTCGTGCTCTTCGACTTCCCAGAACTCCATTCCCGGGCCACATTTTGAATGCCCGGAGCCAACTGTAGGCCACTTCGTGCTCTTCGATTTCCCAGAACTCCATTCCCGGGCCACATTTTGGATGCCCGGAGCCAACTGTAGGCCACTTCGTGCTCTTCAAGTTCCCAGAACTCCATTCCTGGGCATGATTTTGAATGCCCGGAGCCAACTGTAGGCCACTTCGTGTTCTTCTAGTTCCCAGAACTCCATTCCTGGGCCACATTTTGAATGCTGAGGCAGGCTGATGCTGCGGCCGAGGCAGGCTGAGGCTGAGGCAGGCTGAGGCTGAGGCCGAGGCTGAAGGCAGACTGAGGCTGAGGCTGAAGCAGACTGAGGCTGAGGCTGAGGCAGGCTGAGGCTGAGGCTGAAGCAGGCTGATGCTGAGGCAGGCTGAGGCTGAGGCTGAGGCTGATGCAGGCTGAGGCTGAGGCAGGCTGAGGCTGAGGCCGAGGCTGAAGGCAGACTGAGGCTGAGGCTGAAGCAGGCTGAGGCTGAGGCTGAGGCAGGCTGAGGCTGAGGCAGGCTGAGGCTGAGGCTGAGGCAGGCTGAGGCTGAGGCTGTGACTGCGACTGCCGTTGCCGCTGCGACTGTCATCGCGAATGCGACTACGACTGCGAGAACAGCAGAATTCTACAACTGGATTTTCATCTGAATCTTAAGGGGAATGCTTTCAGATATGCTTCTACATATCGCTGTTAGGTTGCTTTGCCGGGATATTTTTGTTTTGAGTTTCGGTATCGTCATTCCCCACTGTTATACTTTTCTACTGTTATACTGCTCGCGTTTGTCATGTTGCGGTTTTGGCTTTTCTACTTTTTCTACTGTTCCACTTGTTCCCTACCTAGGGTCTGCCTAGAAGGGTTCTTACTCGGTTTGCTTAAAGGGCCGGGCAGTGGGCCTCGCCCCGGGCGGTTCCCCCAGGATCCGCCCCGCGGTTCCCCCAGTTACGTCCCTTTAGCTTAGCGTTGCGTATCTCATCTTAGCTTAACTTATTCCATCTTGGCATAGCATAGCATAGCATAGCATAGCATAACATACTTCGGCATAGCACAGCGCAGCATGACATAGCATAGCTAATCATAGCATAACATAACATAACATAGCATACCATAGCATAACATAGCGCAGCATATCATAGCATAACATAACATAGCGTAGCATAGCAGGGCATAGCATAGCATAGCACAGCAACTAATGCTGCTTTCCTAGGGGCTCCAACTTCTAGGTAGGGTCGCACTGGGGTAATCTATTTTTCGCATCGGTCACTGCGCCAATGTATTTTTCTACCTTTCGCGCCCCTCCGAAACAAAAAACAACCAATACACATGTTGCTCTTCGGACCAATATCTGCGGAACTTTTGGAACACATGCACACTGTGTATAGTCGTGTTAGTGAGGCCACCGACCCGGAAAACCAAGCACATCTGTGTATGGTCTGGTTTGGTGGCAGTCAACCTCCTCAGGAAGAGGCACATGAACTGAGAAGGGGGAGGCGGAGGAGGAGGAGGAGGAGGTGGTTGTGGAGGAGGTGGAGGAGGATGTGATCTGTGGTGTGTGGAAGAAGAGCATGTGTGATCATGTCGGGCGCTATATATACATATACACATACTCATATACACACGCGCACACACACACACACCTGGGTCGACGCACCGATCCTGGGCCTGGGATGGGCCTGGCGAGGGTCAGCGCAGGTGTACAGCTGGTGCCCTACTCGAATAGACGTAAGAGTGACCTTTCGCCGGAGTGACCTTTGGTGCGGGCACATTGGGGTGCCACGATCGCCGAACGGGATGCGATAGTAGCGTCTTGCGCGCCTGTGGTTGGTCCTCTGCGGCCCCCAAGAAGCAGCGCACCAAACGTCACTCTTACCCAGGGTCACTCTGGCGTATAGCCGACCTGAGGCTGCGGAGCACACCTCCCGGGAGGTCGCCGATGCCGTGCGCGCGTGCGCTCAGGCCGACGCCTTGGCCGTGGCGGCTCCGCCCCTGGCGCGGGCGGCCGCGCCCAGGGGCGAGCCGCCGCCGGCAATGCTGCCACCAGCGCTGAGCCTGGCATCCTGGAGATCCGACGGTGTGTGTTTTTTGTTTCGGTGCTCGGTCCCAGAGGTTTCGACCCTTCCATGTCTAGGCCTCCTAGATGGGGTCCGAGTAGATGGGGTGGGGGGATCGCTCCGCATCGCCGATGCATTGGCGATGCGGCTCGATGTGGAGCCCGATGTTCTCCACGCCGGCGTCGACGATGCACCGCCGACGTCGCCGATGCATCGCCGATGCTGCGCGATCCCCCGACCCCATCTACTCGGACCCCATCTAGGAGGCCTCTACCATGAGATCCTGGCGTTGCAATGTTTTCACGCTGGGCGCTTTCGCCCAGTTTTGGCCGCAGGACTATCACAGGTCGATCCGGTTAGGAAAATGTGCGCCCGTCAGAAATCTGAAGAAAAGCATGGACTCCAGATTTCGCTCAAGAAAATCAGAGTCTGGACTGGACCCTTGGTGTTATCTTCGAGCTTGTTTTATCGTAGGGTTCTTGTACATCTAATTCTGGACTGCTGTTTTTTAGGAACGCGCCTGGAGTGAACTCCGCTCTCTTAGCGTAGAACGGTCTGAACTCTAAGCAGGGGTGTGGCAGAACTGTGGGGTCTGGAGTTCTGGTCGTGATTGTCGCGATGCTGTAATTCTGTCGCAATGTCGGATTGCAGGGTCGACCCCTCTCCCTACGGCTGGTTCCGTCGTGGAGCCTTTCTTGACAGGCCCCGTGGGGCCCGAAGACGCCTCCCTGGAGGCCGAGATCGAGGAGGACCCGCTGGCACCGAGCACGAAACGCCGCGCCGGATCTCTGGCGTCCGCGCCGCGGCCCGTCACGCCCCCGCCGTCCGCGGCCGCCCCGCCTGGGCTGCCGGGTCGCGGGGCGCCGGCCCGCCCGTTCGTGAAGGCCGCGCCCAGCGGCGAGCCGCCGCCGGCGATGCTGCCACCCGCGCTGAGCCCGGCACCCTCAGGGGCAACGCCACGGGGGAGTCGGCACAGGCACTCAAGGTAGGGAGCCGGCCTGCCAGCAGGTGCCCCACGACGGCTTCTCATCCCGGGATGGCCCCCGGGGCCCGATGGAGCACCAGGGGACCTGAGGAAACTCGGAGATCGTCGACACACGTGCCCTGATAGCTCTCTGCAAGATGCCTTACAGGGTGTGTCTACTGTAGGCTCAGCCCTGAAATCTAGGCGTCGCGGTTCTTTCCGCACTGTGCGTTCTCGCCCGGTTTCGGGCCCGGGACCATCACAGATTGATCGGGCCGGAGAAGTGCCACCTGCAGAAAGATGGGTTCTAGGGCTCCAGTTGTGAATGGTCGCGATGTTGTGTTTTCTTTCGCATCTTCGGATTTCAGGGAGGCATTGCCCATTCATCGCCGACAGGGGCCTGATGAAAAACCCCGCCTGGGAATGAGCGGTTTCGCTATCGAGGGCCTATCGCGGATCATTTCGACGATGCGTCGCCGATTCCAGGTCGGCGTTCCCACCCCGCGAGCCAGTCTCAGACATCCTCCGATCTGTTTTTCCAATTTGGGAGCCCCAGAGGCCCCCACCGCTTCCAGGGGAGCAGTTTTTCTTGCCAGATCTATTCTTGATGCCCCCAGGGCGCCATAACCGGCCACAGTTGCTGAAATCGGGGACAACCGCTCGGAATGAAAAACATCTAGTCGGAGATTTGGCTTTCGGGTTGTAATTCGGATCTCCGGCGGCCAATCGGGACGATTCGGGCACCCCTGGAATTCTCTAGGCCTCTTATATCCGGTCCGAGTAGACGGTGTCGGAGGAAGGGCCCGAATCGTCGATGCATCGTCGAGGCTTTGGCGACGCACCGAGCACATTGATGCGCATGGGCGATGCATCAACAATGCATCATCGATGCATGGTCAACGCGCCGTGCGCATGGAGGCCCTGCGCGAGAGTCGCTCGCATAGTCGCGGGCAGCGGTTAAGACCCCCCACTCCCTGGCGAAAATCTATCATTTCCGGAAGTGGCAGTGATATCCCCACCCACTTCCAACGATATTGTGGCTCTCGCCTCAGCTCCGCGCGCGTTCGTCCTGCGAGTTTGCAACAGCTTCACGGACAGAGGGCGGGTCCTTATCACAACGTGGCTATCGCCATAGCCTGCGCACATTCGTCTCCAAAGTTTGCAAGAATGTCTGGATGGCGGGAGGGTCCTTTTCAGAATGTGGTTATCGATTTGGCGTCGCGCACATTCTTTGCAAACTCTTGCAGCAGTTTTACAGATGGAGGGCGGGTTCTTCTCAGAATGTGGCTCTCGCCACATCGTCGCGCGCATTCCTTCAACAAGGAGTTTCACGGATGCAGGGCGTGCCCTTTTCAAAGTGTGGCGCTCGCCGTAGCGCCACACTCTTTCGTTTTCAAAGTTGGCCGGAGGTTCACGGAAGAAGGGCCAGTCATTTTCAGAATTTGGTTCTCGCCTCAGCGCCGCGCGCTTGTAAAAGTTTGCAAGAGCTTGACGGATGGTGGGTGGGTTCTTTTCAAAGTGTGGCTCTTGCGTCAGCGCCGTGTTCATTCGTCTTCAAAGTTTGCAAGAGCTTCACAGGGGGCGCGTCCTTTTCAAAATCTGGCTCCTCTTTCAGCGCCGCGCGCATTCGTGTTCAAAGCTTGCGAGTGTTTGCCGAAGAGAAGGTGGGTCCTGTTGAGACTGTGGTTCTCGCCCCAGCGCCGCGCACATTCATTTTAGAAATTTGCGGGCGCTTCACGGATGGAGGGCGTGCTTTTTCAAATTGTCGTTCTCGCATTACCGTCGCGCGCAGTCGTTTGAAAAGTTGGCCCTTTGCATTCGTTCGCGCGCCGGTCCTTTGCAAAATACGGCTCCCGCCTTAGCGCCGTGCACATTCGCTGCAAATGTTTTCAAGGGCTTCACGGATGGAGGGCGAGTCTTTTTCCCAACCATCCTGTGGTGTTGGGTCCTCGTTTTGAAGAGACAGCGCCCCGCGTTCCACCTCCTCTCCTCCTCCTCCTCTCCTCCGCCTGGCTGCCGTCCGCATGCGTCCCGCACACCCATTTCGGCACACCCCTCACACGTTTCGTGGCCCCATAGGGAGCTCCACCGAAGGCCCCATAGCCGGCAGCTCCACCGCTCCACCGAAGGCCCCATGGCTGCCGTCCGCATGCGTCCCGCACACCCATTTCGGCACACCCCTCACACGTTTCGTGGCCCCACAGGGAGCTCCACCGAAGGCCCCAGTGCTGCCGTCCGCATGCGTCCCGCACACCCATTTCGGCACACCCCTCACACGTTTCGTGGCCCCATAGGGAGCTCCACCGAAGGCCCCATGGCTGCCGTCCGCATGCGTCCCGCACACCCATTTCGGCACACCCCTCACACGTTTCGTGGCCCCACAGGGAGCTCCACCGAAGGCCCCAGTGCTGCCGTCCGCATGCGTCCCGCACACCCATTTCGGCACACCCCTCACACGTTTCGTGGCCCCATAGGGAGCTCCACCGAAGGCCCCATGGCTGCCGTCCGCATGCGTCCCGCACACCCATTTCGGCACACCCCTCACACGTTTCGTGGCCCCACAGGGAGCTCCACCGAAGGCCCCAGTGCTGCCGTCCGCATGCGTCCCGCACACCCATTTCGGCACACCCCTCACACGTTTCGTGGCCCCATAGGGAGCTCCACCGAAGGCCCCATGGCTGCCGTCCGCATGCGTCCCGCACACCCATTTCGGCACACCCCTCACACGTTTCGTGGCCCCATAGGGAGCTCCACCGAAGGCCCCATGGCTGCCGTCCGCATGCGTCCCGCACACCCATTTCGGCACACCCCTCACACGTTTCGTGGCCCCACAGGGAGCTCCACCGCAGGCCCCAGTGCTGCCGTCCGCATGCGGCACACCCCCACACGTTTCGTGGCCCCATAGGGAGCTCCACCGAAGGCCCCAGTGCTGCCGTCCGCATGCGTCCCGCACACCCATTTCGGCACACCCCTCACACGTTTCGTGGCCCCATAGGGAGCTCCACCGAAGGCCCCATGGCTGCCGTCCGCATGCGTCCCGCACACCCATTTCGGCACACCCCTCACACGTTTCGTGGCCCCATAGGGAGCTCCACCGAAGGCCCCATGGCTGCCGTCCGCATGCGTCCCGCACACCCATTTCGGCACACCCCTCACACGTTTCGTGGCCCCATAGGGAGCTCCACCGAAGGCCCCATGGCTGCCGTCCGCATGCGTCCCGCACACCCATTTCGGCACACCCCTCACACGTTTCGTGGCCCCACAGGGAGCTCCACCGAAGGCCCCAGTGCTGCCGTCCGCATGCGTCCCGCACACCCATTTCGGCACACCCCTCACACGTTTCGTGGCCCCATAGGGAGCTCCACCGAAGGCCCCATGGCTGCCGTCCGCATGCGTCCCGCACACCCATTTCGGCACACCCCTCACACGTTTCGTGGCCCCACAGGGAGCTCCACCGAAGGCCCCAGTGCTGCCGTCCGCATGCGTCCCGCACACCCATCTCGGCACACCCCTCACACGTTTCGTGGCCCCACAGGGAGCTCCACCGAAGAAGATATTCACAATTGCGGTACTCTCAACTGCATATGGTTGGGTCCTTCGCCAGGCTAATTTAACGTGATTCTTGCCGGAGCGCCGCGCACATTCGTTTTAAACATGTGTCAGAGCTTCGCAGATGGATGGCAGCATCTTTCTAAAATTGTGAGGGCCACAACGTGAAACCTCGCATTTTGACGCCGTGCGTTTCTCTCCTTGCTCCTGCGCCGCGCGCGCGCGCTCGCGTGCGCGGTGGAAAATGATAAAGAATGGCCTTCTTAACTTCGAGCAGTGAATTGTGAAAACGTAGCGTTTCGTTCGTATTTGAAGGTATCAACGTGGAAGCGTATATTGTGATATCATGCGCTTTCTTGATTGCTCGTGCGCGCATGCGCAATTCAAAAACAAATAAAGAATGGCCACCTTAACTTCGAAAGCACAATGGTGGTTTGTTTCATTCGTAGTCTGGAGGCCTCAACGTGGACACGTGGTGCGCATTTTCCTGATTGCC